CAAAGTCCGAGAGTTATATAGGAAAATTATGGGATGTGAAATAAAATACTAGGTGATCGATGAAAAACATACGTTTATTGAGATGTAACAGTCAATTGCATGGCTGTTAAAACAGCTATAACTGCGTATTAAATAATCAGTTCAGCTGGTATTTATTTAATAGGATCGCAGCCTATTAAACCTGAATTAAGTACAGAGTTAAGTGTCTCTGGGACACACAGCTGAAAATGGTGCCAGGAACATTTTATGTTGCCTGAAACCCTTTGTGGAAAACTCCCACAAACATGGACTCTGCTGAACTATCCTTTGCTTGATGGGGGAAATAAAAGATGAGATTTTAAATTTTGACCTGGACAGGTGGAGAAATACCTGCAGCTGTCACCTAGACCCAGACTTAATGTAGATGCTTAACTTCTTCAGAACAAAAATATTTGAGTGACTTTTTGGAACTGTTCCTTCCCAGATTTTTGTACGGTTTATTTTGCTTTACTTGCACATCTTTGCTCCCCTGATTGCCTGACACTTATGCAGTTATTCACACCAGCACAACGTGAGAGTCCAAAGAAAATGTAAAATGCTGCTAAATCAACACGGGATTTGCTCTGACCTGGCTGGGTTTACAAACGGGAGGTGTGGATAAGGAGCGGCTCACGCCCTGGAAATGCCAGGTCGGAGTACCCGAGGGGATGTAGAGTCCTCAATCCCCAACAACTTCCTTTTTTGTTTCCACCAGCTCCCGGGGATTTGTGCCCATCTCCTGGGCCTGGGCCATCACTGGGGTTTGCTCCATGAGTATTCCAGTGATGCTCTGGATTCAGCTGGTGCCAAACACCTCGGAGCAGGCACGCAGCAATACCTGGGGTGAAACTTATATCTGTTGCTTTGTGGAATTGCTGCTAAACCTATCCTGGGTTTGAGTCAAATTTTCCCATTTTTGCTAATTTTATGCCTCTTCTTTCTATTTTTAGTGACAAATGAAACCAACGGTAGACTCTTGTCTTTCAAAATAAATATCCAGACCGAATGCCACGTAAACTGCATATGGTGTGTGTTATAGATTTATTTTCATGAGAGCTTGCAAAGAAAAACTGCTGAAGTCAGGGCAGACCCTCACTCACTAACCCTCGATGCCAGGGCAGTCTGTGGTGTTTTATGTGCCAATTATTTGTGTTTCTTTTACAGGACTTTGACTTTCCCCAGCTTCCTGAGCCAAACACAGTCTCAAGCTACGTCAGGGAAGATATAGGTTGGATATTAGGAAAAAAATTTTCACTGAAAGAATAATAGAGCCCTGGAATGTTCTTCCCAGGGAGGTGGTAGAATCACCATCTCTGGATGTGTATAAAAACAGACTGAACGTGGCACTTGGTGCTCTAATCTAGTTGAGGTGTTAGGATACAGGTTGGACTCGATGATCTTAGAGCTCTCTTCCAACCCCATTATTCTGTGATTCTGTAATATGTCATTTCACCATTCCCGGGGTGTGGAAGCGCAGTGGAGAGCTGATGGCAATTTATCGTCCCCATCAGAGATGCATTCCCCAAGCGGAGAGGAGGCGATGATGCTGCCTCCCAAAATCCCCCCTGCTTACAGCAGGGGCAGAAAGCAGCCGGGATGGGGCAGATCCCGGCTCCTGCGGAACCCGAATGCCTCTGTCCAATGAATGTCTCTGTGCAATGCCCCTTCCCCTCCCTCCCTCCGGCTAATTATCCCGTGCTTAATAATCCCGGACAAAACCGCGCTGCACCTGCACGGCCCCGGCGAGCACAATGCCGACAAAGCGGCGTGGCAGGGACCCCACCGCCAGCACCGCTTGGAAAAAGGATGAGAGAAAAGGGAGGGGGAAAAAGGGGAAAAAAAATAAAAGAGGAGGAGGAGGAGATTCGCTCGCTTGGACTTTTTCACTATTGGAGAGAATGGGTGAAAGGCGCACAAAAGCGCCTTAATAAAGGGGAGAGGGAGAACAAGGCGGAGGGGAAGTGCAGGGCAGGCTGAAAGGAAGGAGGGCTTTCCAGGTTGTATTGTTCCCTCCGGGATCCTTGCTCAGCGTCTCAAAGGCCGTCGATGACATCAAGTTGATTGGTTTTGCCGCAGCCTTGAAAGCAGGCTGGAGGATCAATGTGTCCCTCTTCCACCCGGGACCCACTTGTTAGGGTCTCACTCACAAAGCGGGCAGCTCTGCTTTGATGTGGTGCTGGATGGACGGGACCCACTTGTTAGCGGCACAAAACGGGTCTCACTCACAAAGCGGGCAGCTCTGCTTTGATGTGGTGCTGGATGGCCCCTTCACCTGTTCCTTCCCTTGGGAGGAACTGGGCGAGGTATTTTTTGTCTGCCTTTTTGGCCAAGTTCTTCCTAAAAATCGCTGCAGTTCAGCAATAGGTGACGCTATGATTTTTTTTTTCCTAAATACAAAAAAAATATCCAATGAGAAGAATAGAAATAATTTTTTACTTTCCATCCAGAAGTGTAGACTTGTTCCTCCCTGGTCCATGCTTATATAAAGGAAACCTGATGTAGAACCTGTGTTTTTTACAGATGGGTTGAATGACCATTTGGCTCAATTTTAGGGCACAACTCTTAGAAAATGCTGCTCCTTGCCATAAATTGTGTTTTTTGTGCCAGGTGGGGAGATTCAGGCTCCCAGGCTGATGCAGGGCAGCTCAGAGGGAGCAAGGTGGGGTGCATTGCTCACAGTCACCCAAGGGACAACCTGACTGCCACAATTTTTTGTGTGACTGGTGAGCTGTGCTGCAGGAGGGGAACCAGAGAGGGCATGGTTAAATATCTTTCCTGAGATTGCTGAAAGAGTGAGTGTTGAGGATGGCCACAGATCTCCGGAGATTCTTACTTCCAGGCCGGTGTGGCTGTATCTTTAGTCATCTTTTCTTGTTATTATCTCTATGGGATGGAAATCATGGAGCCCACAGAGCCCAGATGAGGTCCCAGATCTGCTGTGCAAGGCATTTCTCCTCAGCTGAGTTAGCACTCCCTGACCCACAGTTTGGTGCAGAATTCCTGAGGGAGATCACACAGGGGAGAGTCTGTTCCCTGTGAATGAGCTCACTGATGTCAGGATTCACTGCTGTGTGTGCTGGGCAGGTCTGGGACACCCTGAGCACGCCCACATCCCCTTCACAGCATCCCCAGGAATGCCAGGCATGGTGCACACAGGCAGGTTGTGACTGACCAGTCGTGGGGTGATGCTGTCAGTGGGCTCTGGCATCTGGGACTGCAGGGCAGTCAATTAGGAGATTGCTCACAAGAGCACAGCACAGTCATTAAGGGCTTCAGGCATAACGTGGCTGGTCTCAAAACACGAGCAGAATACAGTCAGGCTTAAATAGGAGAGTGATCAGAAGGTCAGGCCCAACAAGAATCCCTAGGAGTCTAATATGCTGGACATAAATTAGTATCATTAGCTCAAACACCTCAAAATGGGAAGTAAATTACTTCAGACACTCCAGACAGATGGTATCCATGCACCAGGCAGAGAGCCCATCTCCCAGAGCAATGCCAGTCCCTCCCTCTCCTGTGGGCTGGATAGCAGCAGGGAGATGGGAGATGTGAATTCCCTGAACCTCAGGGAAGGGAAGGGGCAAAGAAAAGCGATATTCTCCTGGGAACAGATAATTTTTCTGGAAGTACTGCTTCAATTCATCCAGAACATGAGCAGCAGAGAGAAAAACTGGTTCACTAACCCAGTCTCCTGCTGCGTTCTCCTACAGTGATAAAAATATGGCTGGAAAATGTCTGTACTGTTTATTACTTTGAAGTCAAATGTGCGCCGGTTATTTTCAGAAACAAGGGAGCAGAAATGCTTTTCTGGCTGGCTCTGAGCTGCAAGGTCATGTGACAAATTCCCCTTTCCCTGTCCCCCTGCTTTTGTACACACATGGAAACGCCGACATGGATGTTTTCACTATATGTGTTCAAAGTAGACCAGACCTTGGTGTGCTGTTTGGAGATGTGTGGCACGGGAATAAATCACAGAGGACAGCAAGGGTGGAACGTGTGCTGCTGCCTGGCAGCTTGGTTTGCTCAGGGCTGAACAACTGGGCAAGACACGGCCTGGAAGAGACAGGTGGATGCAGACCATCCATGTGAGCCCGTGGGTTTGAGAGGAGATTTAAAGGGTGTTCAGGGATGGGCAGCACAATGCTGACAGCTTGAAGCTGGGAAGAAGGTTCATGGCAAGGAGAGGGGAGAAGAAAGCTGTTTTCTCTGGTTTTCATGGCTACAAGGTTTAAGAGGGGCTGCAGGCTTGGAGGGCTTTATGGAAGTGGTTGACAGAGGACACAGAAAACACCTGGGCCAGCCCTCTGCCTCCTACAACCACTTGAAAGTGTCCCAGGACATCAGTTCCAAACAGCCAAGCAAAGTAATTCCAGACTTTAAAGAAAGCACGAGGTTAAAGAAGATTATGGAGCTCTTTTGTTTCCTGTCGGGTAGCTGCTATTTGCTTTCTGACCCTTGTGATTAGATAAAAGGAAGAAAGCCCTTGAAAAGGTGACTTAGGTGTACTCAGGGCCATGGAAATTAGAGCTGCTGTTCTGACAAGCATGAGATGCTGGAGCTGGTGCTTAGCAGAGGGCACCAGGCACTAATCCCCCACCTGATGCCAACAAGAGCAAGGCAGCTCTGCCTGGGGCACCCCACAATTCCCAGATCTCCACCTTTCCCTGCCCGTGACATGGGGGCAAGGCTAATTGCATGGCCCCGGTGCTGGAGAGCAGCTACGAGCACTGCCTGCTCATTACACTCATTACCATCATCCCTGCCTTTCCAGACGGGATGGATGGACAGCCCCACTGCCTCCAGAGGGTTTTGTGCACAGATAGAGAGGAGAGCAGGAACGGGGAGGAGAGCAGGGCCTGGGGTTGTCTTGATCGAGTGTTAATGGGTCCCAACTGGGAGATAGGCTCAGCTGGGTGCCAATTACCCTAATTGATAAGAAGCTCTGATGGGAGCCTTGGAGGAAGCTGGCTCCTCACCGAACTTACTAAAGGGAGGCTGGAAAAGGAAATAGCTGTTGTTGGAAGGGGGGGAAGGCTTTGGCTATCGATTTCTTTTTTCTGTTGTTGTTTGCTTGGTGTTGTTTGTTTTGGGTTTTTTGGTCATGATTTGGAAATGTGCTATTAGGCAAGTGGAAGAATTGAAAAACAGAACCAAGAGAGTTATGTTGTGGGTTGAGGTTACAATGAAACAAGCAAAGATACCCAGAAGGAGGTTTTCCAAAAGCAGGTAAGAGAAGGGAGCTTTGGCAGGGCTTCCTGATGGGTGTCTGCTTGCACAACTACTTGCAAGGAAAAAACCAGAGCTGCATCTTTCTTCTTCTGCTCAGGTTCTTTCCCAGGAAGCGAGTGGGGCTGGGAGAGGAGCGTGTGGAAGCCCAGGGTGAGAGGAGATGGCTCTGTGGCTCTGGGTCCCCCCTTGCTGGGTGGCAGCTGCGAGGTGCAGAGCTGTGAGCAGGGGCTGCTGTGATGGACGGTGGGGACTCCGGGGGCCTGCAGGAGGATCTGCCCATCCCTGTGCAAGGGTGTCTCCTGGAGCTTGGGGTAGCTCTGTGCTCGCTGCTGTGTCAGACTCTGTCTCAGTGTTGTGTGGGGAAAAGGGGTCAGGGAGAGCAGCTTTTTGTTCTGTGTCTCCGGGCCTGCTGGCAATGCTGATGTGAGTGATGGCTTCTGCCTGATGGTTTCCTTCCTCCTGGGACCTGGTTATTACCAGGAATAGATGGAAATAGGAGGAAATAGGAACTTCTGGCTGCCTTGGAGTCAGTTAACCCTTTGTAAATAAGAAGGAAACTGAGGCATGGAGAGGCTCTGCACCAGAAACAGTCCAACAAACCTAAATTAGCTCTACTCTGCCAGGTAAATTCAGGCTGTAAACACACAAGCACATCTGATGCTGAAGACTCTTTGCTGTTTATTTTGCTGCTGGTTTGCTGAGAATACCTGAAACTTTTCCTTTGCCTGCCAAACTGCTCCATGGCCCTGACTGTCCACTGAGGTGGCACCTTTGGTGTCTCAGTCAGAGCCCTTTAAATCCTTCCCACAAAGGGTTTTCCTTTCCTGTAGGAGAAAGGAGTGCAGCAGGCATTGCACAGACTTGCTGCAGTGCCAGACCCTGGTAATAACCTCATTAGAGGATCCCCTCTTCATCTTTCTTCCTCTCCAGGACCATAAAGCACTTGCAGATGTGAAGGCAGCTTCCAAGCATGGCTCACCTGCTCTTTGCAGTGCTTGGGCTTGATGCAGCTCCAGGGAGCTATTTAGAAAGCCCAGTAAAGGTATCAAAGGGATGACTGGATGTTTTAAAACCCTTGGATAGGGTTTTCTGGCCCAGGCTTTGTGAAAGCTTTGTCTTTCTGTGATCAGCCAAGGTACCTGGGCAGACCAAAGGTGTGTCTGTCTCTGAGGCTGTGTTTTGTGCTCAGCAGTACTGGCTTTGTGCATTGCACTGGTCAGTGCTGCTCCTGAGCTGCATCACCTTTGCCACGTGCAGGACTGGCCCTGGTTTTACCCTTGTGTGCTGGGGAAGCTGGCACAGAGGGAGCTGGATGCTGTTTAACACAACATAGACACCTAAGCTGTCAGAATTAGCCTGGCAATATTTTTGGAGCTGGAAAAATGCATTTTTGTTGAAATAGTGTGTGACACTACTTTTTAAGTTTTTTTAAATTTTTTTTAATTGTGTCTTTGAGCTACAAATTTTGGACTTAAGGTGGCTTTTTTGAATCCCAACCTTAGATGATCAATATCAGAGGCTTTTGGAAAGAGGGTCAGAAGGGGGCAAGCAAGGAGTCATTCTCCTCATTTTATTCTCTGAGGTGCTGTTAAGCAAACAATGCTGGCCATAACCATATGAATTTTATCTGTCTCTGCTGGTGGAAAAGGAAAAGCACAACAAACATCAAGGAAAGCAGCATAACCTCATCCCCCAGTGCCTGCTGCTGACTTATCAGCTTTTAAATTGCTGACAAATGACAAGCTCCTGTAATGATCTAGTTCAGAGGGTACCTTCTTGGAGAAACACAGGGATGCTCCTGGCAGGGTCATTACTGGAAGTCGTTAATCACTGATTTGATATTCAAAGCTGATGGCGAAGTCAAAGCAGGTCAGCATGCTAATGGCCATCAGCGGTGGCAATGACCAATTTCCACAGAGTTATTGTCAGCGCAGGCAGCAATAAGCAGCTCAGAAAAGGCAATCTTTTATTTTTAAATGGGAGCCGGTATGGGGTGGGCTGTAGGGGCAGAACGAACTGCTGCTGACAGGAGGCAGATTTGCTCCTAATTGGGAGAGGCAGCAGCCAGGAGAGGTACGGCTGGAACTCCAGGGACAGGCAGCATTTCCCAGCAGAGACCTCTGCTGTCATTTTGGACAGAGGAATTAAGGAGGGTAATGGTTCTGGGTGGCAGGAGGGAGCTGGAGTGTGTCATGGGGGAGCATTAGCTGGGGGTGGCTCTGTCCTGGGGACACGAGAGCAGCCCTGCCCTGAGTGGGAGTGGGCAGAGCTGTCCAGTTTACAGGTGGAAAGCAAATCCTGGGAGTGCTTGAAGTCATTGCTCAGCCATTGGCTGGGAGCACACTGTCCAGGAAGAAAAAAAAATGTCCTTTTACATGTACAGCTGGTTCTCGCAACCCTAAAGACACTCCAGAAACAGCTAACACAGGTTTTGGTGTGTTTTCCCCTAGTCCCAAGTGGAGGAACCATCTAGAACACAATTGCTGTGAACTGCTGGTTTGCCAAACATGGACAATTTGTTTTCCTTTGTGTCTGATAGTTTCCTGCTCTGTCAAAACAGCTGAGTCATTTCTTCCATGAATGTGATTTTTTTTTCAAGTATTTTGATATTTCACTTTCTGTTTTAAACATCTTAGTGAGTGGTTTTCCCTCAGAAATTTTCTCTTTCTTTGAAGGAGAGCACTGGTTCTCACTGGGAGCACAGTGGTGCTGCCTGGCCATGCTTCAGAGCAGTGATGAGTTCTTAGTCCTGTGGTCACGGGGGAGGGAATTTTGTGCTAATGGCAGTGAAAAATTGGAGCAAAAAGTCTGTCCCTGCCCTATAAATCTCCATGTCTAACTCCATCCAGTTATCTCATACATTTTTCCTCAGAAAAGAAAGATTGCAGCATCATGATAGGCATGCTCATGGCTCTGAATTATTGACTTGATGTATGTGAATCTGAGAAATCTCAAAGTTATTTCTCTGCAAAAGCATGTGTGGTGTGAGAAGAATAGCTCTGGGAGTGGAGAGAGCAGGACGGGCACTGTTTGATCACCCTGACCTTCCCCAAAGGGGAGTTTCCATCTGGGAATGGGGCAGGAGCTTCCCACCCCTCACTTCTGTACCCTTGTCCCCCAGTGGCCTTTAGCTGGTGCAAGTTTTACTGAAGGGGACACAAATGTTCTAGGAGTTGGACTTGAGAGCAGCAATTAATTTCACATAATACCTTTCCTGTCCCTGACTTGGACCAGATTTGAGCTACTGACCTGGAGCTGAAAGTCACCATAGTCCCCCAATAGTCCCCCAGTTTTCTTGCTGGCTGTGCTAAAAACCCATGGCCAGGCTGTTCCCTGCCTCCCTCAGGTTTAACCCTCTCCCAGCCCTCTTCCTTCTCCCCACCTCCTCCAGCTCTCTGCCTGCTGGGCACGACCAGGATAAAAGGAAGAGCAATGAGAGCCATATGTGGAGCCTTTTCTCCCCTCTGCTGTGGCCTGTGGTGAGCCTGGCTGGGGGGGTTGTGCAAATCCTGGGGTCCTCTGGATTGCTTGAGCCTCCAGACATGGCTTTCAGGGCACTGCATCAAGTGGAAATGTGTTTGCTGGGGAAGAATTGGGAGTGTTCAGGAGTAGAAGACCTGTAACTGGCAGTGAAGAGCACAAGGCTGCATCTGATTCCTTTCATCTTCATGTGAGCCTCATGCATCTTTACCCTGCTCTGGTCCCCTGCATCTCCCCATGTGGTGACAATGACTGGTAGGATGTACTGGAAAGCAAATTCCCAGAATCTCTGGTGCTGCAAACAAATGGAATTCCCCTTTCCCATAACACCATCTACAATTCCTGATGCAGACTAGGAAAACCCCTCTGACCTTGGGTCTTTCAGCCAAGATGCAAGATCATCCATTTTCCTGTCCTTTGTGCTGCTGAGCCATAAACGTGAAACTCCAGAAGCCAGCCTAAGACTGACATGCCCTCGGGTGGGGAGGTAAATTGAGCGTGGTTAAGTTTCACTCTGTAGCCAGAGGTTTAGGGCTGAAGCTGTCTTGCCTCGAGGACCTTCAGATACAGAGCTTGAAATGTGTTTCTGAAAGAGGATTAGCCAAACCTGAAAGTATTCCTGAACAGCTCCACCTCAGCAGAGCAGGCAGGGAGTGCCTGTCTGGTGTCTCTCACCTTGTCTCTGGCCAGCCTCCTTGGCTCCTTTTGGTGTCCCAGGGCTCCTGGTCTGGCCCTGACCTGGCTGTGATGGGATCTGGGCTGGCTGAGGAGCAACACAGAAAACAGTTCCCATCTGATGGCCAAGCACTGTGAATCATCAGCAGCTTCCATCCCATTCCCAGTGATCTCCAGCAGCCACTGGGATGAGCAGGAGCCCCTCAGCACTGGGGACTGCTCTTGTTCCCACCCGCAGCAGAGCTGCCACAATTTGGGCTGGATCTGCGCAGTGCCAAGTCTTGTTGCTGTGGTTGCATGGAGGGGAGAGGGGCTTCTCTGAGGTGTGTTTTATGAAGCCTAAAAGCCATGTGAGAGGAAGGAGACGTGAACTACACCCTGGTAAAATACCCTGATTTGGTGCTTCTCGTGAAGTGCCGTGCTGTGGTCTGGTGAGCCCCAAGAAGTGACAGGCGTGCTCTGGCAGCAGTGAGGTTTGTGCTGCAGAGAACTCCCACCCTGGAATGCAAGAGGTTTTATGGGCACTAATAAATTAAACCTCATGTGTTGACTCTAAAAATGTGGTGGTAATGAACCAGCCTGGATTTAGAGATAAGGGGAGCAGGGCACAGAGTAATGTGCTCATTTCCCTGTGCTTGCAGGGCCTTCCAGCAGTGTGGGTGGGATGACACCCAGGAGTCCATCTCGTGCACAATGGGCTTTCCTTCAGGCTCTTGGTCCTTGCCAAAATGAACCCAAATATTCTCTTCCAAAATCCTCCCTCTGATTTTCATCTAGCCATACGTGGAGTACTTGTGACTAGTCTTGGATAGGTTCCTCTGAAAAACAGCTTGTTGTTCACCTGGAATTCTCTGTCCGGGCATTCCTCACCAGTGGAGGAAAAAAAAAAGTTCTGGAAATCAGAAAAATGCTGATGACTCCATAGATCCCACAGTCTCTGTTTGCCAGAGCTGTGGCTGCTTGGCCATCCCCCTTTGGAGGGCTGGCTGCCAGATCAGTGACAGTTCCTGAGGAGGGGAACACGTTCCTGCAGGTCCCACGCTGAGCGGGAGCTCTGCGAGCCTTCCACGCCAGCTGACACGGAAACACAAGAGGCACCCTTTCCCCAGATAATTTTTTTTTTTTCCTCTGTCCTCTCCCTCTTTCACAGATGTCTTAAGGACCTTCCTGAGTCTCAAATTCAGGCTCTTGGCCCTGATGAAGCAGAAGCTGCCTGCAGGCAGCTTTTGGACAGCTGGATGAAGATATCACTCGTCAAGCGTCAGCCCTCTCCAGGTAACAAATCTTTTGCTCCTGCTTTGCAGGAATGTCTCAGTCACAGGCTCACACCTGAGGCTGTCAGCCTTCAAAGCCCCTCTCCTGGGCTGACCCCCTCCCTGCTCCTGGGACAGGGAGGGTGAGTGGTGCACACACGTGCTGCTCTGGGGCTCCAGTCCCAGCCAAGCAACTCCCAGTTCACCCAGGGCACTGGGGAAACCTCAGTGCAGGCCAGAAGGAATCTCATCCCTTAAGAAGGGAAAAAGCTTCTGCTTCCACGTTGGAAAGGCTCATTGGGATCCAGGACTGTCCCCCTCTATGAGCTGCTCTGCAAGCTTCCTGCAGACCCCTAATCCCCCCTGCCACCCCCCATCCACCCAGCTGCCATGTTCCACTCGGCCACTGCTGCCTCAGTCTTCTTCTCTCCCCTGCTGTATAATAATGATATTAATAGTAAACACTTTAAACGAACCTTTTTGTCCCTCAGGGTCAGGAAGTGAGATGGGAGAGCACAAGAAGGGATTTATGTGAATCTGAAGGACGTTGGTCCAGGAGGTTGGTCCTGGTCAGTGAATTAGTGCCCCTTAGTGTCTTGCTGCAGGGAGGTGATGAGATGACAACTAGGTCATCCTGCTGTCATATAGGGAAAAAATGAGTGTATTTGGGGCAGGAGTGAAGGCTGACAGTCCTGGGAGGGACCATGCCTTCCCTACTCTGCTTGGCAGCAGGACATGGGCCAGCAGTGGAGCTGTGGCTGAGCTGCCTGCTCAGAGACAGCTGTGGGCTTTAGGTCCATGCCCAGTGAATTTTGGCTAGCGTGCTCCCTGAGGGATCAGGCAGGAAGGTGATGCTCCCCTTGTGTAGCAGCATGAGTGTGGAAACAAGGAGAGTTTTTTGCCTCAGAAGTCGTGTTGCAGAGGACATGATGACCTTCTGCTGCTTTCTGGGTCTCCACAGGGCTTTTGGTTTGTGTAGTGCCAAAAGCAAGCTCTGAGTGCTGGGCTGTGCATGGGGAATGGGGTCTTTGAAGCACTGCAATGTGTTTTTGCTAGGGAAGCCTCTCCTAGGACCAACAGGAAATATTTCTGTAGTCTTTGCCATGTGTCCCAAAGCATGAATTGCCTCCAGCACATGGGGAGGGTGCTGAAAATAGCAGCATCCAGACTTTCTTTGGGGGAAAAAATTTATATATATATATATAAAGGAATGGACACATGGTAGGCAGCAGGAGAAAGGCAGTGATGGAGCCTTTCCAGGGAAAACAACTCTGTTATGGGTCGTGGAGTAAACACAGATGTCTGGAACTGCAAGGAGCAGAGCCATCCCTGGTGCTGGGGAGGGTTTGCCGGGGGGATGCAGGGTGAGACAGCAAATCCGTGCTGGGAATGAGCTCTGGGACAGGCATGGCAGCCCTGCCTGGGGCTCACCAGGTGTCCTGGCCTCTTGGCTGCCCTGCTGTGGGCTTGAGGTTTTGGATAGGGGCAGGGAATCTATGGAACAGGAAAAAAAGCCACCAGCTTGGCCAGAGTAATTGTTGGGTGTTTTTATCAGAGTGAAGAGTCAAGATTTGATCTCCCGTGTGTGACTGGGCAATCCCACTTTTGCTCACAGCTTTAAACTACAAGAAAGAGGACCCTGAAAATCAAATGCATTGTGGGTGAGAACTGGGAATGTGCCCTGAGAAGGGAACAGAGTGCAACTATCCTTCCCAGAAAAATCTGGGTCCTGCCACTAAGCTAGCCTTTGCTGGAGTAAAAGTTATTTATATTTCAGTTACCTAGATATGAGAAACAAAAGGAAGGAAAAAAAAACAACAGTTGTTTAAAAAGAAAAATAACAAAGCTGTGACAAATAGCTGATCTGCTTGTTCCCTTCTGGGTGAGCAGTCTGGGAGGAGCACCCTGATGGGCTGTAAGGACATGGCATAGTTCTCCCTCCTCTGTGATCCCCCATCTCTGAGGGTTTGGCCAGCAGAATTCTGTCCATCACTTTTTGGGAATTCTCCATCACTATTTCTTGCATCCATTGTAGTGACTGGCTAAAAAAAGGGAAACTAAGTCTTGAAAAGCACAGCTGAGAAATGTTACAAGGGCATCATGCTTTGGTTAGGTGTGTACCTGAAGATATTTCAGCAAGGATTCCTTTTGAAACTGAATTTGACTGTATTTCTCAGGGAAGGGAAGCCAGAGCTGCATCTGCAGAAGTGCTGTGCAAGGAGACCTGGAGCAGCCCAGCTTCCTGCAGTGCAAATGGACCTGGATTCTGACCTCACCCGGGCTGCAGGCAGTGGCAGGAGGAATAAAAAGTAAATCTGGGCTTGTTGCCATGAATAATATGATGTCTTTACATCCTGACCTAATTGTATTAATTCTTCATGGCAAATATCATATGGAAGTGGCTGATTAGTAGCTAGCAATGAGAGTGGTATTGGCCATCTGGTGTGCTCAGCTTGGAAGGAAAAAAAAAAGTCAGGATGAAACAAAACTGAAACACATGAGTCTTTCAGATAATGAATTAGCCAGATTCATTAAATTTTGGTTCAGATTTGTCTCTGCTGACACTTGTGTATGGGCAGGGCAGAAGGCAGTGGTGTCTAGGAGGAACGTGATCCCTTCAAGCTGATGGTGTGCAGTGAATTGTGGTTATTTTTCAAGTAAGAACCCATAAGAAACAGTGGTGTCAGCTCTCTTTTACCTGAGCTACTCACAGGTTTGCTTCTGTTAACCTTATGATAAGTTTCTATGAGCTTTACCCAGGGAGTGCAGCTCCATGAACAAAATTAATTAAAATCAACCTGGTTTTTCTTCTGTCAGTAAAAGTAGAATGGGAAACTGATCTCTTTCTTATGTGTTACCTTGGCAAAAGCATCTCAGCTTTGTCTGGCATGGTAGTCATAGAAATCCTTCCCTTTAAACTCTGCTCACCTCTGGCTGCACAGGGACATGCAGCTCAGAGACAAAAGACCTGTCTGTGATTTTACTTTTATTGATTTTTAATTTTTTTTTCCTTTCCCTGCAGCCCTGGGAAAAGGTGGTGTGATGGAAAGGCACTCTGCACTGACCTGAGGAATGCTGCAGCTCCTCCTGGGGTTTGGCAGCAAAGATCTCCCTTGAGATCTCCCTCAGGGTCTTCTGGGGTGTGCACGTGTACTGAGTGAAATTTGGCTTCACACACCAAGATATTGCGACTTCTGCTGAAGAGTTTTGCTGTTGTTGTTGGAATTAGCCAGGAGGATCCCATCTTAGTTTGGAGAACAGGGTGGAAAGCTTGAAATGAGTACTCAGGGGCTCCAGGGGGATGACAAAGTGGCTGGGTTCCTTGGCTGGGTGGGGAGAGCAGCCAGGGAACCTGGGCTTGAGTCAGAGGTTTCCATCTGTGTAAGGGTTGTCCAGAGGTGAGCTTGAACTCACTCTTTGGCCAAATGGCCTTGCTGGACTGGTCACTGAAAAGCCTGGGTGTGCCAAAAGTTTGCTGTGCTCTGCAGTGCTTCTTCCTGGAAGGCTTTGGGGGAAAAAGTTTAATTTGTTTTTGTAACCAGGGAATTTCCTGCACTGCACCTGTGCGGGCTGGAAACAAGTGAGTGGTGGCAAATTTGTTTGGAATGGGTGGAGGAAAGGGCTCCAGAGACCATGCCAACCCCAGAATCTGCTAATCCTATGCTAAATCTCTGGAATCAAGGAGGTCTTGAAGGCAACATTAAGGATGGTAAAAAGGGGTGGGTACGTTTCTCAAGGAATTGAATTTGGAATACTATTCCAAGACAGCAGCAGTGTGAATTGGCAGGGGAGCCCTGATCCCATGGTGCCAGGTGTGGTTACAGGGAGGATCTGTGTGCCTTTGTCTTTATTCCATGTTTATTGTGTACCTAATGAGCTCTGGTTTTGCTTTTAATTTAAGTCAGCCCTTCTTCCCCCCTCTCCTCCCCAATAATTAATGATCAGCACCATATCCCAACCTGATTTCCCGACAGACAAGGAATACTCTGTGACTGTGGCCTTTTTAACAGGCTCCTTATTAAATGTTCCTGCTGGATAAACAAGCTGGGGGGGAGGCTGCTGGGGGTAATTCCCAAACACTCCAGAGCTGCCAAAGCTCTGGACCAGAGTATGTGTGCTGAGAGCTGTGAGAGTCATTTCCAGTGGCTTTACTGACAGATGCTCCTAATTGTGTCTTTCTCTGAGGGATGAGTCATGGACTGCTGGGAGCAGCAAGAGGTTCCAGAGTAACTTTAATGGACATGATTATTGCAATAAGTCCTAAATTTAGGATGCTCTTGGAGGAGCCAGGTTCCTGGGACACAGCCATCACCTTGCCTCCCTTTTTGAAGATTGGACTTAATGATGTTAAAGGTCTTTTCCAACTGCAATGATTCTATTTAGGCAGGTGCTGGAGGATCTGACCTGATGATGTTGCAGGATAAAGGCTGATGTGCTGTGGGCTGGGAGTGTGCAAACATCCCATTCCCAGGAGGAAGGAGCTTCCCAGTTCTGCTCCAGCTTGACTGGATGGGGTCTTTCCCTGGATTTATTTCAATTATGATTTAATGATGGATTTCAGACTTGTGTAGATACTAGAGCTGGTTCCAGGGAAGCATTTCATGGCTGTGGCTGCTGATAGAGAGCTGGGTATGGTGACCCCAGTATGTCTCACTTGGACTGCAGGATCTGTTCCTCTCCAAGGTGCAGGGCTGCTAATGGAAATCATGCAGCTGAGCACTGAAGGGTGGCTGTTGTCAGCTAAGAGTGTAATTTCCTATTTGTTTTACTTAAAGACACAGATGGGAATCACTCTTGATCATTCACAAAATCTGTCTGGGTTTGGAGGCAGTGACCTGCAGGTCAAAGGCTTTGTGCCCTTTACAGTCCCTGGGGAGTTGGGGACACTGAGCTGCTGCCACACCTGATTTGCAGGGACTGCTGCTTTGGCAGCCAAGTGTGCAGCTCCTCAGTGTCCCCTCCTTGTCACACTTCAGCTTTTCACACTGCGTTTTTTGAGGCTAACAAAGTGGCATCTATGGC